CTGGGGATGTTTTTGTATCATACCAGATAGTATATTCTAATAGTCGGACCCAAGAGCTATTCGCTCCACTTGCTATCGTTTAACTGTCTTTCTGAGGTTTTACGCAACCGAGAAAATACACGTTATTTTGAACTTAAGGAAATCCAGTGTTCGCGAATAGAAAGAGCCCAGATGACGGCTGACACGACTAATCTGGTAAGTATTTTAAAATTGACGAAGTTTAACAGTTACTTCAAGGTTAAAAACTTTCAAACAAAATGAGTTGTTTTAAATAGCTTAATGAAATTTTTATACTAGTTCGTACCAACGATGTCTTTTTCTCAGATTGCCGAAAAAAAATTAAAAATCTCCAAGAGACTGAATTGATACTAATTTTGAGAATGCGCTCATTTTTTTCAAAACAGCATACAATATATCCAAACGACTTTAATTAATTTCATTGTAAAATAATTTGCTTTTAATACAATTATATACAGTTATATATAATGAAAATGAGGTACAAATATGATATTTGGGTTCCATAATTTTAGATGGTCAGTGGAAAAAAATTTTACGCATTTAAATTTTTGAAAACAAGGTTCACATTTGTTTTTCCGACCATTGGAAAACTGGGGAAGAACTTTGTATTCGGGTTTGTTTTAGTAATTTTCTTTTTGTTTGTTTTTCACGCAAAATCAGCTACCACAAATAATTATTGAGGAGAGATGAAGGATATATCATATTAAAGCCCTTACAGTCGTATTCGAACGACATTAAAATTTTTCCAAAAATTTTTCCCAGTGTCGAGAAAAACCGGTTTGGAGCTTTTGGTATTTCGTGTTAATTCGAGCGAATAAAGCGAGCAAGCAGGCTTAGAATAGCTTATTTTAATGGCTTAGAAGCTTACAATAGCTAAATTTAAAACATAAAAATTTAGTTTAACTCGAGTAATGTTAGTTTTTTGAGTATTTTAGCGCTCTTATGGAACCAAGATCATCAAAAATTCAAAACAAAATCGAAAAATGTTTTGAAAATTTTCGTTTTAGTTATTTTTCTACGATAATTGTTTTTAAGTTAGCTTATTTTACTATGGCTGTCGAATACGCCTAATCTCATCTGTGTACCTAGCAAATGCTCTAATTAAGGTCTGAAATAATCTTTTTCAGATCTGAAATGGGTTGTGAAATGCTAAAATAACGCTTGGACACTTTAGGATTGGATCATTTCAGATCTTATTTCAGAAATCTATTTCAGAAATCTATCTGAAAAAAATCTATTTCAGATCTGAAATTCAGTTTTTCTTGGTTTTTTCAGATCTAGAAAATCAATGATTCTGACACTATTTTTGATACTATTGTATTTGATAGCTCCTGCTAATTACTAGCTGGTACTCAGCAAAGTCTCAAATGGGAGATTGCCAAAATATGTTTCCCCAAGCATGAGATAAACAATGAAAACGCATAAGTAGCGCATGAAAATCTAAAAATTGATAGGTTTTCTGATTTTTGAATTTTTGAATTTTTTTATACCACAGTTGAACAAGACATTTAATTCGAAAAAAATGTGTGTGAAGTTATTCGGATGTTTTTTCACCGCTAGTTAATCTGAACATTCTAAATAATTGCAGCAACATCAAAAATAAAAAGTCAATTGTTTTGTTCAGAATGTTTCAGTCAAAGTACAGTTGTGGGAAGACCTTGCTTTTTCAGGTCAATAAATTAAATCAAACCGACTGATACTTTCTTCTTTCGGATCAAAACTGGGCTTTGTTGGTTAATTGCAGGGATAGTTCTCGTTCAAGCTTACAATGTAAAATTTAGAAAGGAATCAAATGGATATTGCTCAAATACGATCATGTTTGCTTCAAAAGCGTTAGTTTGTTTCATTTCAATTTTTTCAACCCTTTTTTGTTGAGGAAAAAATTAGCAAAATTTTGATGTCTGTTTTTTTTTCAATGTCGACCTTTATATGTATATATAATTTTTCATTTTCCATTTTTACCCAATATTCATTTTCCTCTCGCTGTTTTTAGTAATGTAGATATTCGATTATATCAAAGTATAATTCGTAGATTTTTTCAATAAATTACTTCGAATCGAGCAAAAATTGATGCGTAGCTAGCTAGAAAATTTTCATAATTTATTTTTTCAGTTCATCCTCAGTAACTTAAAAATATCACTTTTTTGAGAAAACATACTGCAGATAGCGAAAATTTTTTTTCAGACCCGTAATCATTTTGTAGTTTTTGAAACCACTCATTGTTTTTTTTTCATAGAGGCTAGCTGAGAACGTCTGCGAAGCTGGCAACAGATAAGTAGTTGATTGTAATGCAGTTAGCGAGATGAAATTTGGATGTTAGGTTTTGCGAGCCAGAAGTTTGATTTTCAAAATTTTTGGCTGAGAGTGAATATACTTCAACATTACTTAGCACTGTTTAACAATCCTAGTACAATTCGCCTAAAGGTTGATTTGGTAAAAAAAAGTGGCTACCCTGTCAAATACAGATCCATTTATTTGCCCTTTACTCTTAGTTAGCCCTTTACTCTTAGCTTACTCTTAAAAAATAATTTTGACTCGAAATTCTTTATCAGATCGCTAAACAGTTCAGATCTCCTAGTTCAATTCGCTTAAAGGTTGATTTGGTAAAAAAAAGTGGCTACCTTGTCAAATACAGATCCGTCTATTTGCCCTTTACTCTTAGTTAAAACCAGTATTTGATTTTAAAGACTTTCTAATGTAATGCGTGTCTGAAGAAATCAGATTTCCTTAAATTTCCTCAAAAGTTTTTCAATCCGTGTGAAAAAAAAGAAGTAACAGCTGAGTTTTGTAAAACTTTTACACTGATTATTCCATTTTTCTTGCTGAGAATTTTTCATGTTGCTTGAACAGTTTTTTCACTTGCTTATTTGAGAAAAAGTTAACTACGATGAGCAAATCTGGCATTTTCAAACCCGGATTTCAATGGTAAGTTTCTGAAATCAAATTTGGTTAGTTTCATAGGGAGTAGCTTTGATCCTGTGCAATATGAAATGAATTTGCTGAAAATTGAAGTAAATGTCCAAAATGGGCATTTTAGAGAGTAAAACGCTGAGTTTGCACTTGATTTTATCCACAAGTGTATATGTATACTAGGCGATGTTAAAAATACAACCGCAAACTTTCGAAAAGTTAATAAAACTTGTGGGATTTTTTTTGAGACTTTGCAAAATCGATTGGCTTGCTCTGATAGATAGCAACACATTTTGATGACTTGCATAGATGCTAAGTTTTTTTTAAAAAAAATAATGAATTATATTTTTCCTGATTCATTTCGTAGAACTATTTTTAGTACGATGTTTCAGTCAGAGTACAGTTCTGGAAAGACCTTGCTTTTTAAGATCAATCAATTAAATCAAACCGACTGATACTTTCTTCTTTCGGATCAATACTGGGCTCTGCTGGTTAATTGCAGGGATAGTTCTCTTTCAAGCCTACAGTGGAAACCAAAATTTAGAAAGGAATCAAATGTGATATTGCTCAAATACGATCATATTTGCTTCAAAAGCGTTAGTTTGTTTAATTTTAGTTTTTTCAACCCTTTTTTGTTGAGGAAAAAATTGGCAAAACTTTGATGTCTAGTTTTTTCAATGTTGACCTTTATATGTATGTATAATTTTTCATTTTCCATTTTAACCCAATATTCGTTTTCCTCACGTAGTTGGCTGTTTTTAGTAATGTAGATATTTGTTTATATCAAAGTATAATTTGTAGATTTTTTCAATTAATTACTTTGAATCTTGCAAAAATTGATGCATAGCTAGAAAATTTTTGATAATTTAGTTCATCCTCAGTAAATTAAAAATCTTACTTTTTTGAGAAAACATACTGCAGATAGCGAAAATTTTATTCAGACCCGTAATCGTTTGTAGTTTTTGAAACCAAACATTGTTTTTTTTTCGTAGAGGCTAGCTGAGAACGTCTGCGAAGCTGGCAACAGATAAGTAGTTGATTGTAATGCAGTTAGCGAGATGAAATTTGGATGTTAAAGTTTGCGAGCCAGAAAATTGATTTTCAAAATTTTTGGCTGATAGTGAATATAATTCAACATGATTTGGCACTTTAACAATTTTTTGTGGTCGGCACTCTTGTGCTTTGGCACTTTAGTACTGCCTTCACAAAACGTATTCAGCTTATTTATTTATTTAATATTCACTTGCAAGTAGGTTTTAGGTCTCTGTCTATTGCCAAAGTGACCACTTGATTTCAGAAAAAAAAATCTTTGACTCGAAATTGTTTATCAGATCGCTAAACAGTTCAGTTCTCCTAGTTCAATTCGCTTAAAGGTTGATTTGGTTAAAAAAAAAGTTGCTAATCCTTCTGTTTACCCAGGGGCGGATTTAGGGGGTGGGGCGGACGCCTTCCCTCCCCTCAGGGATTCGACCCCCTGCCGACTCAAAGGGTCCCCCCTTTGGTTCTTTTTAAGAAATCCATTTTTGGCCGACCGACCCTAGAATTTTTCTAAAGGCGCCTTGGGCGCCAATATATTCTAATTTTGAGGGGGGAGCGCGCGCCGAAAAAACGCAATTTTTTGGTAAAAATTTTCCAAAAAGTTCCTAAAAACGCTTTGGACTGTTTTTTCAAATTTTTGCCTGCCGCGCAGAAAATTTTGCCGATAAAGGGACCAAACCATGCTTAGGGAGAGTTCAAAAATCAATTTGGTCGACCTAAAAAAAAGTCGACAAAATTTTCGAATTTTTTTTTTTTGAAAATCCGCCCCCTCCCTCGAGAAAATCCTAGATCCGCCCCTGTGTTTGCCCTTTACTCTTAGTTAGTAACTTGTCGAATGTTTTGCTGATTGCCACTTTGACAGATACTTGAAATCGTCCCAATTCTAATAATATCTGCAGACCAAAGTACCAAACACTAACTACTAAACAAATGGCATTCTTATTTGCCTCACAAATAAATTAGATAAATTTTATCGCTGAAGTGGGTACAAAACTATTTGCTCATAGTTGCGTGAAAGGCGGGTTGCGGACGTCCCATTCCCACGTTCCGCTCAATCTCTAGAGAATTGCCTGGAATTTGGTTTCCTTGGCACCAATAACCAATAACTTCATAACGGAACGAATAAGTGACAGGACAGGACAGGCGTCTGGAATAACTATCTATGTTCTTTCCTTTCATTCACTTTCTTTTCTCTCCAGATTTTATTCAACTCGTGTTCAAGGCATCTTTTGTGCTATATCGGAGCGGATTTTACTTGTATAACTCTATTGTAAATTTTTGTGTGATCGCTATCTTGATATTGTAACAGTTATTAGACCTATTCTGCATCATTTTGCTCATCAAAGGAATGAATTTTTAGCTATAGGAATTACCTTCAAAACCTTAGATCATTTGAAGTTGAAGTCAAAAGGCAGTTTTGTAAAACTATTTCCCCCTGAATATATTCACGAAAGCTGACTTGGAAGAGTTATGCTTATCTAAGTGATTAAAGTTCAGCTCTACTTCAAACCTTCGCTTAATTTTTCGTATATTGGCACCACAAAAATCAATTTTTGGCGCAACTATAATGTATTCACACATTTCGCCCACGCACATTTGACCCATCAAATTATAAATTAAGAAAGCGGCGACTAATTAATTATGTAATAAGTTATGGACGAAACGTACGAGGACGAAATGTGTGAAATTGTGAGGGGCGAAATGTATTAGGGGCAAAGTTTGTCACTTTCGAGCTATAAGTAATCAAAAACCTGATTTTGGCTAAAACTACTCAAATTTTTACCAAAAATATGTCTTTTTTTTGTATTTAGATTCATTACGACTACTACTATTCTATTTTGATTATTTAAAAAGTTTCTAACCTCGTTAAAAGATCCTGGATTTTTTCTGAATTTCCTCTCAAATTTTTTTATTCTTTAAGAAAATAAATGTTCTGAAAATACCCGACATTTGTAACAATATTCGTATGCGTTGAAGCATGCTCTCATTTTAACGAGTTTTTGTGCTTTCTTGTGCATAAACGAATAGTACATGCTTGAAAGTTCACAAACTCGCAAATAAACGAACTAGATTAGCCTTTGATTAATATTATTTTGACCTTTTTACGCACGTTAGTTAATATTTTACACTCGCTTGTTCTTGTGTGTGGTGGTTTCGTCGATAAACTAAAAACATGTCACTTGATTCTATTCCTCGGGCGGCCAGAGCCAGCTTCTATGAGGCCGAAGGGGATGACGACAAATATGATGAGTCGAGCAGCGATTCAGAGCCCATCGGTCAACGTCCGGTTAGTTTTACAAGTCATTCTTACCCTAATTAGGTCTAAGGAACCCAAAATACCACCTATATTAGCGTTGTGCGCATCGGTTGTGATGGTGCCCAGCAATTATATGACTGCGGGTTCAAATCGCTCATGCGCTATAATTTACGAGGTGAGCTCTTGTAAGATAGCCATAGCTTAGTTTACCTTTAACTTTCGGGTTAGGCCTCTGGGCTTTTTTTCCTCCACCCCCCCCCCCCTTACACCTCACGAAAGCATCAATTTTATGGTGTAACGAGAGGTTTTACAAGCTTAAACATGAGACCAAATATGTTTGTCACTTCCTAATTAGTTCGCATGCCAATTTTTGTAGTATTGTAGTATTCGGATTTTGGGAACAAAATTTCACCAGTGAAAATTTGAAGGTGGGGGGAAAGGGAAAAGAGCCATTCATAGCTAAAAGCATTTTACTATAATTTAATAGAATATAAGTTATAGTAAAACTGATTTGAAATATAATTTCTTGGGTTTTTCTAATTTTATTTTTTGGCAATTGATTTCTGTTTGTATATTTTCGTCGGCTTAGTTTCCGCTGTGATTACTTTTTTAAGCTAAAGCTTCTTCATAGCATTCATTTTGCTTCTTTTAAAGTTTCAGATGGTGCTGTTGGTTTCGTTATGGGATGATTTTGGATTTCGCTGCAATTTAAAAAAAACCTGGTTTCAAAGCTTTTTTTTTCAATTTTTATGTGTTTCCAATCATAGTCAATAATTTTTGCATCGCAAGTGGTACAAAACTTAGTTAAATACAAAATTTAAAACAAATTATTTTTTTCTAACTTTTGTTTGAGGTTTGTTTAACCTTACCGCAAGGTTATTTTCAGGCTATGCTACTCATAAGAACTTGAATCAATTTAGCCTGATTTGAGGCACCAGCAGGTTTGGAAAACCTTGATTATTGAGTATCACACACATGTCCGAAGCTTAAGACAACTGGTTGTACATTCAGTTTTATTTAAAATTTCATCTAGATAAATCAATATTTTTAGATGGTACAAATGTTTTTGTCGAAAATTATTTTGTAAAAATCTAAATTTTTTGGATCGAGCCACATCGAGCAATTATTTTTTGTCACTTTCTTCTAGAATGTAAAAGAACAAACTTCTCATTTTACGACAAGGCATCGATTCACGGCCTAGCGTTTAACGTGTCTGAAGTGGCTTATAGTAAAAAAATCAATTCTTTCAATAAGAAAAAAGTTTGAACATTTTTTTTTTGAATTCATACGCAATGTCAAGTAAAAAATGAATCACTTTACTTCCATTAACGCAATATTTGGATCAGTTGAGTGAACTCAATTCACTCTAGATTGATTTCTTAGCCAGATTATTTTGCCGCATATGCTTAACTTTGATAGAAAATTCGAAAGTCAATAACAAATAATCGTGGTTGAACATTCATGTTTTTTATTCTTAGCTCAAGGCTTCGATATGTTTCAGTCTGAATAAAATCAGAAAATTTTTTCTCGTAATTTTTTGATAAACTGTGAGTTGAAAAATCGAAAAACCTGAGCATGAAAATTTTTTTATTTTCTTTAAAATTCGGAGCAACTAAATGGTTCGCAAATTCGGGTTTTAATTGTAACAGATTTACAACTTAAAAGTGTTGAAAAATCTAATTTAATGTAGGATAAAATCATTAATGTGTCTTTCAGTCAGAAGTAGTATTGTTCTTTATTTTTTTTTCAAAACATCACAGTGCTGGTATAACCTAAAAATATGGGAATAATTTACTCATTCCTCAACTTCAACGATTACACAGTTCAAAACAGTTAAATCTAACAGATTTGTACAGGAAACTCCTAATATAGTTAATTTTCAGACTGGAAAAGACAGTTTAAAATTTAGTGGTAATTAGCCAGCTAATCTTTGATATTTTTAGTACCCATCATTAAGTACACCAAAACGCTTGTAGGGTAGCGAAGGTGATTTCATATTTAAGCCTGCTAAGTGATAATTCGGATTCCGAAAAAAAATCGATCAACTTAGAGAAAAATTGTTCTGAAATTTTTGTTTTTCAGACCTATTTACACGGAGAAATTCAGAGACGGCATCTAATTTTACTAGAATTCTTTTAATTAATTTCACCTAGTTATTACATATTATTACACTGTTTAATACCCTCTTATTATCTTTTAAAAAACTTATTTTTTTAAAATAGCTCTAATAGGAGCATTCATTTCTAGTTGCACAGCAATTGGCTATCTTTTTATCATTTGACACCTGATTTAAAACTTCCTGAACTCCCTAGGGAATGCATTGGTCTACATTTTTTGTATTGCTACATTTTTTATTTTGTGGTTGATTTCATCAATCAGAATAGCTGATTGAAATTTAATCAGGCTTTCTTTGATTTAATTTGTTCCATTAAATTGATTTTCTCTTCTTTACCCACAGAACATTTTCACCTCAAACCTCTGATTTCTACATGTCCGAATGTCATCCTCCAACATTATCTTCCATTTTTTTGAAGTATTAGAATAAATACAAAAACAATGCAAGGTATGTCTCATTACTTTTGAGCTAGAGCAAAATTTTACAGATAGCTTTTGGAGACATATGACATCGTACCAGGGCTTCCCGTATTTAAATCTTAAGCTTTTTACAGATCATTGTTTTTACTCTTTTTCTAAGTTCCTGAATTTAGTCATGTTAATAGAAAGGTATCTCTTTAACTATATCCCCCTTTTGCAAAAGGAGGGGGGAGATTCGTTACTAGGTATAAAACTCTCAAATGCTTAACCGTTGATTTATTTCTTCATAGGGGGTATATTTGTTTCTAAGTACTCGACGGGAAGGGGGGGGGGGTAGTTATAGGGCATATATGGTATATGGAAAACCAAGTATGTTGCTTTGTGCAAATTTTAAGAGTGAACTAAAATGGCCTCAAATTGAATCGAGCTGGATAACCTCGGTCTAAACTTCAAAACTTCATATACTTTGATACCTTCTTAAAGCCCCCATTTGTGCTTTAAACTTTCTCGCGCCTGTCGTAAGTTTGAGACATTTATTGCCTTTAATATGCAGAATGTTTTAAAATAGAACCAACTTTTCCACCGGCTTAAGGGTTGACTTTGAAAATGTATAACATAATGGTTGTAAAACATTTTTCATTCTCAATAAATTTTATAGCGTAACTGTTTCAGTGACTTTGCAATGTCACTTTGTGCGTCGTGTTACTGAAGGTTTAATTATAGACAGATTTGATACCCTCTGAACTCTAAATATATCATGTTTACCAACCATTTGCTAGATCAATATCTGTTCAAGCCTATTTCATGTTTAACTTAAAGTAGCTTTTATATATTAATTTTTCCCAAGTTACAATAAATTAAACTCAAATCTTTTTTTTTCACCCGTGCAGCACAAAAAATTTCAAACAAAGGCTCACTAAATTTCTGAACTGCTCCATTGTGAAAGAATCGAGCGGGAGATACTTCTAACTAGAATGGCTTTTTATTATTTACGACTTCGCACAGACCTCAGAACCAGCTGGAGATTTATTGATTAATGCTGCGAATACTTTTTGGCAATTTTTGTGGTATAAAAATTGGTTTAAATTACCTTTATAGTAGGGACGCACAGGCTGACGCAAATCAGGAGACTTAACCATTTTTAGTTTTTTATTTGAAACCCTTTCCTTAATCATGATAAGACTGGCTGCCCAGGACCGGTTCAGTTTTCTAGACGACGGGTTCCAGGGATTACCACCGGTCCCAATTCCGGTCTTAAGGGCAACTCCCGATAGTTTGGTGAGTGCATTTCAAATCGAATACTCAAACTATCTGTTCAAATCAGTTGTGTAACTTAAATGTGCGTTTAAAATTCAATTGCAAGCTCATTTGTTGAATTGTGCAATATGCATATGTGTTTCCAGTAAATTGTTGGAAACTTATCTTTTGGGTATTGTATACAACCAATATTTTCAGTCGTATGAAGATAGAAGTAGATTGAATGCCGTCTGGTTTCTATAATTGCCATCAGTGGCTGCCTTTCAAAATATGATTTACTCAAATTTTTCATGGGGTGTCTTACCTTGAATAGAGACAAAATACCTCGAGTAGAAGTTTACCTGGATAGAGTGAAAATTCAAGGAACGTTTTCCTTAAAATTCTTACAGTTTTCCCGTCTCATACCAAGATGGCAGTTTTCTGCATAGAGCGTGTATAACGGAATAAATGAGCAAAATAAATGAATCAGCTAAAAGCTATGTCACGTTTTTTCTTGCATTTTTCTGATCAAGTTCTACAAAATTGGACATAAATATTATCTAAGACAAGTGTTTTTGGTTGGCTTCGATTGTAGCTGGTTTATGCTTCTGCTAGTTTACGTCTGCTGGAAAAATTGAAACAGATCATTTTTAAATGTAAAAGAAGGCTGTGATTTTAACTTATGTGAGTTTTTTTTACTGGTTTTTTACAAATCTCACTGGTTTTTCTCACTTGCTTCAGTATTGAATCTTAACCAATTCTAATTTTGTTTGTATTTAGCCCAAGGTTTGGGGTTTGAGTCCCGACATGACCTTGTTTTTTTCAGCATGAATGAAATTGAATTTTTTCCCGCTGAAAAATCAATTGTCGACTTTCATTTGTCTGCTCAAGATTTGATTAGGTGCCGCATCACAATTTTTGTTTGCTAAAACCAATTTTCTTTATGTTGCATGTGTTTTTTTGTAGTATCAGGGGGACTTTTCACAAAATCATTTTTTCGGCTCAACTGATATCTGCTTATGCAATATTAAATTGTTTTGTTTGGCATGTTTGCCTAGAATAAACCTCAATCCAGATATAAAAACAATTTGATAGATCTAGTTTTTTTCAACATTAAAAATTACTTTTCAAACATGCTCTGACTTTTAATGTTTTTTTTTGCTTTGTGTAGTATCGCAAGTGATGCGAAGCTCCGCTTCGTCTCTGTGAATGTATTGTTGCATTTATGACTGCACTTAGGTCTATATGCAAATTTGAAT